CAACGTCCGTCACAGTGTCCACCACAGCGTCCGTCACTGTGTCCAGCACAGTGTCCATCACGGTGTCCACCATCACAACGTCCACCACAGTGTCCACCACCACAGTGTCCACCACAACGTCCCAGACCACAGCTGACAGTGGGGGTTGGAAAGGAATGAATGTGCCTGGGTGGGTATGGGTGGAGGGGGTTTCAGAGGCACGTAAGGACAGAGACTGGGTGGCCAGTGCCTCCAGCGAGCATCAGGAAGGGGGTCAGGAGTGCTGACTTGTGCAGATGGCACACATTCTCCACGAGGTGTTGCGGGGGGGCACATTCCCCAGGCTGGGATTGAGGCGGCAGCTCAGGGGAAGGGCTGGGGGTACAGGGGGGTGAAAGGGAGGGTGTGAGGGCCGGAGAAGCTGTCTTCCACCCTTGTGTGGTTGATCTTGAGGCACTGACGTCTGAGGCTTCTAGGACAGTGGTTCTTAACCAGAGCGATTTTGCTCCCCAGAGGGCATTTGACAATGTCTAGAAAACTTTCTGATTGTCACAACTGGGTGGGAGGTGCTGGGTGGGGGGGTGCTACTGGCATCTAGTGGGTAGAAGCCAGGGATGCTGCTAAACATCCTACAATGCACAGGACAGCCCCCACAACAGGGAATTATTTGGCTCCTAATAATAGTGCTGAGAACTCTGCCGCAGGGCACTGAAGTGGGGAGGGTGGGCGTCATTTCACACAAGGATCTAACACAGCTCATCGGCCTCAGGCATCATGGGCAGCCTCTTTTTTGTGGCCCGGTAGCTCTGTTTGGGAGCCCTGATGGCACAGCGATTAAGAGCTTGGCTGCTAACCAAATGGTTGGCAGTTCCAATCCACCAGCTGCTCCCTGGAAACCCTATCAGGCAGTTCTACCCTGTCCTGTAGGGTCGCTATGAGTCGGAATTGACTCGACGGCAACAGGTTTTAGCTCTGTTTGAGGACGCTTTCCCACTGCATTTGGCTTTCTGTGGGTGAGCCTAGAGACTTTTCGGAACATGCTTTTAATTTGACCTTCCCCCTGTCCAACTGCTAAGAGGATCTCTGGGCTTCGGATAATCCCTGTGGAGATGAGCAGAAAGCCAAGTATTTGCGCAGGTAGTAGCAAGATGAGAAAGGGGAGAACTCTACATTGTCAAGGGAATATTACCTGGTTAGGTTTATGGCTCATGTGTGCTAGGCGTGTGTGTGTGTGTGGTGGTGTGTGTCTGTGTGGTGTGTATATTTAACACTTCCGAGCCTGAACCTAACAGGGATGTCGGCATGAATTGGCGATATCGTCTTGCTGTGATGATGCCTTTTTCTTCCCTGAAGCTTGAGGGCACTTGGAAATGGTTTTGAAACTCATTTGCGGGTTTGCATCTGTTTGTATCTGGCGTCTCCTGCTGTGCGCTGACTGCAGCAAGGACTCCTTCCCGACCAGCCAGTGTCTGCGAGGCGCCCCGGCTATGCCCCCACACTCCTCCTAAAATAGCTGCCTCCTAACGGTTTGACAGGAGAGCTGATCCCCGCGGGTCTGCTGAGGGGACCGAGAACCAACCAGAAACAGCAGCGCCGCGTCTCTGCGCTTCCTGAGCTCCGCGAGGATCACATCCTGGGTCCGAGGGGAAGACAGATGCACGCAGAGTGCTGTCCCCGGAGGCAGACAATGCACCGTGTCTTCGTCCCTCGAGGGGTCTTGTTGGACGAGCCCTTTCGGTGGGCGTGTGTACCTATGCACGTGTGCAATTCTCTTTGCAGGACACGCCATCATCACCAACTACTTGTTGAACTATTTCCCTGGCCTTGACCTGGAGAGGAGGAATGTGTTCGGGTTCACAGCGCTGATGAAAGCCTCCATGCAGGGCCGAACCGAGTGCATCCGAGCCCTGATGCTGGCAGGTAGGTCAGAGCCACCGTAAGGTCAGGGCCCCGCCCCGCCAGAGCCCGGCACCCGGCACCACCCCATCAGAGCCGCGCCCGCTCAGAGCTGGCTCCTGTTGCAGCCTCTTAACCGTCAGAGCCATGCCCCCATCAGGATTGTGTCCCCTAGAGCCACATCCTCGTCAGAGCCACGCCCCTGTTGGAGCCACACCTCTATCACAGACATAACCCCATCAGAGCCATGCCTTCTGTAGGGTATGCTGACTGCTCCTTGAAAGCATTCTTTTTTTTTAAATTTTTAATTATTGTACTTTAGATGAAGGTTTACAGAACAAATTAGCTTCTCATTAAACAATTCATACACATATTGTTTTGTGACATTGGTTACCAACCCCATGACGTGTCAACACTCTCCCTTCTCGACCCTGGGTTCCCTGTTACCAGCTCTCCTGCTCCCTCCTGCCTTCTAGTCGTTGCCCCGGGCTGATGTGCCCCATTAGTCTCGTTTTGTTTTATGGGCCTGTCTAATCTTTGGCTGAAGTGTGAACCTCTGGAGTGACTTCATTACTGAGCTAAAAGGCTGTCCAGGGGCCATACTCTCGAGGTTTCTCCAATCTCTGTCAGGCCAATAAGTCTGGTCTTTTTTTTGGCGGGGGGTGCAGGATTAGAATTTTGTTGTTTATTTTTCTCCAGCTCTGTCCGGGACCCTCTGTTGTGATCCCTGTCAGAGCAGTCAGTGGTGGTAGCCGGGCACCATCTAGTTGTGCTGGACTCAGACTGGTGGAGGCCATGGTAGTCGTGGTCCATTAGTCCTTTGGACGAAGCTTTCCCTTGTGTCTTTGATTTTCTTCATTCTCCTTTGCTCCAGACAGGATGAGACCAGTGGAGTATCTTAGATGGCCGCTCACTGAAAGCATACATTTTGAAGAGAGGAATAGTTCCTATAGAAACAACACCTAGTAGTAACACTAAAGAATAGTTTCTTCCCTGAGCTATATTGCTACCATCATTAAAAAAACAAAAAGAAACACCTTCAGGGCCAGGAGGAAGGTCCTGCCCTGGTTACCTCGCTGCCTCCCAGAGACTCTGGGAGGGATGGTGTCTTCCCTCATTCCTTGGCCTCCTCCTGCCCACTTACCCTGCTCCCCAAGCCCTGCCCATATTTGTTCTTCTTCAGAAATGTGTGTTCTGGCCTTGGCTTTGAAAGGCAAGACTACCCTCTTGAAGATGGGCACAGGGATGGTGGGGGGCCAGGGGTGAGCCAATAGCCATCCTCCATCCCCACTTGCTGGTGGTCAGAGTCGTGCTGTGATGTGGCGTGGTGTGCTGCAGTTTCTTTTTCTATGACAGGTTGTTATGGATTGAATTATGTCCCCCTAAAAATATGTGTGGAAATTCTAACCTCTGTACCTGTAAATGGGAGCCCTGGTGGTGCAGTGGTTAAAAGAGCTTGGCTGCTAACCAAAAGATCGGTAGTTTGAATCCACCAGCTGGCTCCTTGGAAACCCTATGGGGCAGTTCTACTCTGTGCTATAGGGTCGCTGGGAGTCAGAATCGACTCGATGGCAATAGGTTTGGTTTTTGGTTTTGGTACCTGTAAATATGACCCTGTTTGGAAATAGGTGTATTCTTTGTTATGCTAATAAGGCCATTCCAGAGTAGGCTGGGTCCTAAACCTAACCACTTCTGAGTTATAAAAACAGCAGAATAGACATGGATGCAGCTACAAGCCAAGGGTTGCTGGCAGCTACTAGCAGCTGAAATAGACAAGGGAGGACCTCCCGTAGAACCACACCCTGATTGGGACTTCTAGTCTCCTGAACTATGAGGAAATAAATCTCTGTAGTTTAAAGCCACCCACTTGGGCTATTTCTGTTACAGCAGTGCTAGGTAACTAAGACACAGGTCATAGAGGGGCAAGTTTGTGGACTGTAGCTTTGGACCAACAGGGTTGAAACTCCTGCTCTGAGCTTTATGAACTCATCATGCTGGAGAGAGCACTTCCTTCTCTGAACCTTGGTCGCTCTGTGTGTGAAATGGACATAGTAACCTCTTTCCTTCTCACCTCCCTGAGTTGCTATGAGGATTAATATGACCATTCTCTGTAAACCTTTAAGGGCTAGACAAATTTAATGAACGACTCAGCTAAATTCCATTCGACTGATCTCTCTAATTCTCCTGTTCCTGTGTATTCTAGATGGAATCAATTACAGCCAGTCTTCACTGTCAGCAGATTCCATACTTGCGAATCCACCTGCTTGCTAAAATTTATTTGTAACCCCCAAAGCAGCCCTGGTGGTGTAGTGGTTAAAGTGGGAGAAAGATGTGGCAGTCAGCTTCCGTAAAGATTGCAGTCTTGGAAGCTCTAGGGGACAGTTCAGCTCTGTCCTAGAGGGGTGCTAGGAGTCGGAATTGACTCAACAGCCATGGGGAATAGAACTAACTACCACCAATACCGAGGATCGACTCGCTTCGTCGGGTTATTTTGAAAATCGAATGAGAAAATACGTGTAAAGCACACACAAAGTAACAACCAAGGGCAGGTGGCGTTATTTTGATTTTATTATTTTAATTTTTGCCCTTGTATAGAGTTCAGCCAATTCCCCTTGGTGTTCCAAGTTCCTGAAGTAACATTTTCCTTCCATCTTAGTTATCCCGAGGACAGAATCAAAGTTCTTCCAAGCGTCAGCCGGTTGCCTATGAGTACTGTTTAGACATTTTCCTTTTTTGTTTTTTTTTTAATTGAAATTTTTTATTCTATGTACAAAGAATTAGCAGTGTTTCTTTTGTTGGGTAGCTGTCTTGGAAAATCCCTTCAAGGAAGATCGCTAAGTCCAATCCGATGAAGCCAGTATCCTTCTCATACTGCCAGAAACATTTCGGCACATACTGAGGCCCTATTTCTGAATCAGACCATGCTGGTCGGAGCCCACATGGCAAAAGTGGGACCCGCGGCTGAATTTTCATGGGTGGCTCCAGTAGAGCTGCAGGTGACTCATCTTGCTTTGAGGGACACACCAAGGCAAACGGGACAACTTGCTATATTTTTAACAAACTTTTTATTTTGCAATGAGTTTAGATTTACATAAAAGTTTCAAAGATCGTGCGGAGATTGCTGTACCCACCCCCCCTCTAGTTTTGCCTATTGATAACATTTTATGTTACCATGGTGCCTTTGCCACAACTGAGAAACCGACCAACGTGACTGTTAACCTTGTTTTAGGTGCCATCAAGTCGGTTCTGACTCATAGCAACCCTACGTATGACAGAAAGAATGAAACACTTCCCAGTCCTTCGCCATCCTCACAATCGTTGTTCTGCTTGAGCCCATCTTTGCAGCCACTGTGTCAATCCATCTCACTGAGGGTCTTCCTCTCTTTCTACAATTTCTACTGTTCCATTGCTATTCATAAGATTTTCACTGGCCAATTTTTTCGGAAGTAGACCACCAGGTCCTTCTTCCTAGTCTGTCTTGGTCTGGAAGCTCCTCTGAAACCTGTCCTGCTGGTATTTGAAATACCTGTGGCATGGCATCCAGCAACACAGCAACACACAAGCCACTGCAGTACGATAAATGGACGGACGAGTGGTGGTACTGCTAACCAAACTCAGCTTATTTGGGATTTCACCAGTGTTTCCATTAATGCCCTCTCTCTGTTCCAGGATCCCATCCAGGGGATTACATTACCTTTAGAGGTCCTGTCTCCCAGCATCCTCTGTTCTGTGACAGTTGCTTCATGTTTCCTCTTGTCTCCTCACCTTTCAGTCTCGATACTGGCCAGGTACTCTGCGCAGTGTCCCCCAGTCTGAGTTCGTCTGTTTTCCTTGTGATTAGACTGGAGTTACAGGTTTAACAACTTGTCTTGGATTTCTTTTTTCTGCTTTAACCTGAGTGTCTTGGGACATACTGTAAGAAAAATAAATTGTGTAAGTGAGGATAGAGGCTTTGAAGATGAAAACCTTCTTGGAAATAAAGGCATAATTAAAATTAATCCCATCCATGGTGCTTCTGATTCAGTGACATTTTAAGTCTTTTAAAAAAGGCACAAGGGTTTCAACCAAGTTGAGGTCCCACCTGTCCTATATTGATGAGAGTTGTTCCTCCCGGTTCAGTGCTGGTTGGGTATGTGATGCATCTGTTTTGGGAAGCATCATCTGCTTTTATTACTTCTGGATCTAGGTGCAATTGCATGTAGATCTTTAGTCATCTACTTTTTTAGCTGAAAATGTATGGTGGCAATCACACATCACAGCATTTTCCCCAGATGAATTAGTGTAAATTACAAACCCATTTTTCAGGCCAATTGCCTTCTAGAAAATGCGCAGGACTGTGTTTCACGGCCATGCAGCTTTATTTCCCGGCTCTCAGAGAGATCCCTGGAGTTTGTTACAGCATCTGCAGTGTTACAGAGACACTTCCAGGTCTCCTGAAAATGATGGACCTGTTTATAGGCAAAGGAGCCCTGGTGGCACGGTGGTTAACCAAAAGGTGGGCAGTTCGAACCCACCAGCCACTCCTTGGGAGAAAAGACCTGGCAATCTGCGGCCTTAAAGATTACAGCCTTGGAAACCCTATGGAGCAGTACTGCTTTTCTCTGTCCTATGGGGTCACTATAGGAAACCAAACCAAACCCATTGCCATTGAGTCCATTCCAACTTCTAGCGACCCTATAGGACAGAGTAGAACTGCCCCCATAGAGTTTGAGGGAGTAGCTGGTGGATTCAAACTGCTGACCTTTTGGTTAGCAGCTGAGCTCTTCACCACTGCGCCACCAAGGCTCAGGTTTATAGGCAGGGGGTTAGTTTTTTGTTTTTGGTTTTTTTGCATAGTAGTCATTTATTTATTCAACTGCCTACTCTCTTCATGCCAGGTCATCTGCTAGGCATTGGGGGAATATCCCTGCCCGCATTGAACTTACATTCTAGTGGCGGAGACAGATAATAAACAAGTAAAATATATAGTATTTAGATGGTTGTTGTTATGTTGTTAGTGACCTTATGTACAACAGAACGAAACA